GGGGAGGGGGGCAAAAAAAAAAAGAATGAGAGAAATGAAAAAAAAAAAACAAAACAACAGAATGAACAAAAAAACTAATGGTAAATATTAGGGCCTTACTGTAAATTAGATGAACAATACTAAAAGGTAAACGTAGTGTGTACTATTTGAACTGATCGATATGCAAAAGAAAGAAAAAAAAAACTAAATAAAAAACTAAATAAATAAAACGGTAAAAAGGTTAAAAATGCAAAAACTAAAAAGCATAAAGAAAAAGTATTTTAATATAATATAATATAATATTATATAACATAATATATTATAATATAATATAATATAATATAATATAATATAATATAATATAATATAATATAATATAATATACTGTAATAAATCTGTCACAACAACATTTACCATAGATCTTTGCTTATCTCTAAACTGGTTCAATCAATCCCATGAGTCTTTTGGGCGTACTGTGGGAATGCGTATGTTCCTGTTTCTACGCGCACAGCTAGCGCGGAAATTTGTGCTCACGCGTCATAAATAAAGCACATAGCAACTAGCCAAACAAACCAAAGAGAGACTTGATGCTCGTAGTTGGTTATAATTTCACCGCTCAAAAATTCACTGATTTTACCAGTCGGAATCGATTTTAATACAAATTTACTACACATTTAGTGTAGTATTCGAAGACGAACATGACGAGATCAAACGAAAGGTGAATTGAAAAGTATTTAAAATGTTAGGTGAACTTAATATTCTAGGCCAACGTGGATACTGATTTTGGTAAAGGTAGGTTAGACTGTTGCCGAGAAGACGCTTGCGAGGACGCTCCGATCGCCTATCCAAAGTCATATTATGATATGTATTGTGTACAGTATAGTGCAGGTCTAAATTTGTATAATATTATTTTTGCCTAGGGAGGGGCCTAGGCCTAGTCTAATATTTATTAATAAGTATACAATTTTTAAAATGTATTTAAAAGTAGGCATAGGCCTACAAATCCATACAATTCATTATGTAAACAAATACATAATTAAATTATTGATTTAATTACCCGTCTGAACTCCTTGTTTAATCCTTTAAAACTGTTTATAATGTGCATTTTGTGTTGTTCATGGATCTGGGTCATGCACGCCATCATGATATTTATATAAAAAAGAACAGAAACAAGCTTGACTACAATTAATAAAATATAAAAAGAAATAAATGTAATAAAATATCACCTTCAAATGTTTATGTATTTGAATGACTGTATTAGGTTATTTAAAAAAACACCTTAGATATTTCTTTTAATAAAAAGTCTTATTAAATATGTATAAGTACAATTGTTATGTATTATATTTTTCATAATTAATAATGTAGTGAAAAGTCCAAAATGCATGTTTTATTTCTGATTAATTAATACAAGGTGCTGTATGATACTCCCCTAATCTAAATCTAATGAAAGCAACATCACATTCTATTATATTAATGTTCTACTCCAGTAGAATTACATTTTTTCTAACCTGGTTGGGATCAATATTTCTTTATAAACACGCAATAACACATTTTGACGGTAATTATGTTCCACCGTTCCACATTTACAGTGTTATTAGAGGCGTTTATTTGAGTATATGTATCCATATTATACAACAAAAATAGCCTCGAATAAACACCTCCCTCGAGTACCCTCAAAACCCTTTTCAAATATATAATAAATGCTCCGGGGCGTTTATTCGAATAAACATAGTAAATTATTTATAC